AAAAGTGCTGGGGGGGGGGGGGGGGGGGGGTGTTGACAATTCGCTGTCTTGGTTGCGTGTAGAGGGGACAAGGGCCCTTAGCTGATGACGTTCCTAACCAGCCTGACTGTGCCATGATCACCTAAACCCCATTTTCTGTATTTTTAATTTCAATCTGTAAATAATAAAGAAACATCGCTGAATCAAAATTATTTCTGTACTAGGAGTATTATGGTTTGTTTTGAGCAGGATTCGACTATGGAAGGATAACGCCCCACTACAGACCAGCTCCCACATTCTGTTGTCAGGCCTAGAGAGTCTTAAGTTGAAATTCGAAGTTGGAGAAGGCGTTTACCAGTGTGAAGCCAACAACACGTACGGCATTGCTAGATCTGATAACATCACCGTCAAACATGTGGGTGAGTACCCGAGTATATTAACATCACCGTCAGACATGTGGGTGAGTACCCGAGTATATTAACATCACTGTCAGACATGTGGGTGAGTACCCGAGTATATTAACATCACCGTCAGACATATGGGTGAGTCCCCGAGTATATTAACATCACCGTCAGACATGTGGGTGAGTACACGAGTATATTAACATCACCGTCAGACATGTGGGTGAGTACCCGAGTATATTAACATCACTGTCAGACATGTGGGTGCCTATCCGAGTATATTAACATCACCGTTAGACTTGTTGGTGACTATTCGAGTATATTAACATCACCGTCAGACATGTGGGTGAGTACCCGAGTATATTAACATCACCGTCAGACATGTGGGTGAGTACCCGAGTATATTAACATCACCGTCAGACATGTGGGTGAGTACCCAAGTATATTAACATCACTGTAAGACATGTGGGTGAGTACCCGAGTATATTAACATCATCGTCAGACATGTGGTTGAGCACCCGAATATATTAACCTCACCGGCAGACATGTTGGTGACTATTCGAGTATATTAACATCACTGTCAGACATGTTGGTGACTGTTCGAGTATATTAACATCACTGTCAGACATGTTGGTGATTATTCGAGTATATTAACATCACCGTCAGACATGTGGATGACTATTCGAGTATATTAACAACACCGTCAGACATGTGGGTGACTACCCGAGAGTACTTGTGAGTAACAACGTCACCAATCGTTTCCATAAAGTCAGTGTCTGATCCGGGATTCGAACCTACAATCATAGCTTTCTGGCAGGCACAGCAAATTGCGGCGCATCAGATGACTGGGTCACCCATGTATTCGGCAAGACAAGACCCGAGCAATAATTTACACTGTTGCAATCAACCATGAAACAAGTTCAGTCACGAGCATGGTGCTGACAAACCTAACATAATCAGAGCGAATATTTGGATGAAATCCACGATCACAGGTTGCATGCACGTTTTGAGGACGCAGTTAAGTGGCGCTTTGATGACTGGTCCACTCGTATCCACTTCTGTTAGATTTACAGTGGTCTCAAAACCAAAGGGAGGTAATCAAAGTGGAGGCATAATATGAAACATATAAGCCTCGTGAATATTCCACGATGATGTGTTTTGTTTGTTTGTTGTTAAAAGCCGCATTCCAGCTATATGACGGCGGTCTGTAAAAAATTGACTCTAGACCAGACAATCCACTGATTGACGTCATGGGATACGATGACATGCATCAACCAAGTCAGCGAGCCTGACCACCCGATCCCGTTAGTCGCCTCTTACGACAAGCATAGTCGCCTTTTACGGCAAGCATGGGTTGCTGAAGACCCATTCTATCCCGGATCTTAACGATGATGTGTACTTCAACAGTGTGTAAGGGTTAGCAGTGGTATTCAGCAACCAATGCTGGTCGTGAGAGGCGAGTGGTCTTCAGCAACCAATGCTGGTCGTGAGAGGCGACTGGTCTTCAGCAACCAATGTTGGTCGTGAGAGGCGACTGGTCTTCAGCAACCAATGCTGGTCGTGAGAGGCGACTGGTCTTCAGCAACCAATGCTGGTCGTGAGAGGCGACAGGTCTTCAGCAACCAATGCTGGTCGTGAGAGGCGACAGGTCTTCAGCAACCAATGCTGATCGACTGGTCTTCAGCAACCAATGCTGGTCGTGAGAGGCGACAGGTCTTCAGCAACCAATGCTGGTCGTGAGAGGCGACAGGTCTTCAGCAACCAATGTTGGTCGTGAGAGGCGAGTGGTCTTCAGCAACCAATGCTGGTCGTGAGAGGCGAGTGGTCTTCAGCAACCAATGCTGGTCGTGAGAGGCGACTGGTCTTCAGCAACCAATGCTGGTCGTGAGAGGCGACTGGTCTTCAGCAACCAATGTTGGTCGTGAGAGGCGAGTGGTCTTCAGCAACCAATGCTGGTCGTGAGAGGCGACAGGTCTTCAGCAACCAATGCTGGTCGTGAGAGACGACTGGTCTTCAGCAACCAATGCTGGTCGTGAGAGGCGACTGGTCTTCAGCAACCAATGCTGGTCGTGAGAGGCGAGTGGTCTTCAGCAACCAATGCTGGTCGTGGGAGGCGACTGGTCTTCAGCAACCAATGTTGGTCATGAGGGGCGACTGGTCTTCAGCTACCAATGCTGGTCGTGAGAGGCGACTGGTCTTCAGCAACCAATGTTGGTCGTGAGAGGCGACTGGTCTTCAGCAACCAATGCTGGTCGTGAGAGGCGACTGGTCTTCAGCAACCAATGTTGGTCGTGAGAGGCGACTGGTCTTCAGCAACCAATGCTGGTCGTGAGAGGCGACTGGTCTTCAGCAACCAATGCTGGTCGTGAGAGGCGACTGGTCTTCAGCAACCAATGCTGGTCGTGAGAGGCGACTGGTCTTCAGCAACCAATGCTGGTCGTGAGAGGCGACAGGTCTTCAGCAACCAATGCTGATCGACTGGTCTTCAGCAACCAATGCTGGTCGTGAGAGGCGACAGGTCTTCAGCAACCAATGCTGGTCGTGAGAGGCGACAGGTCTTCAGCAACCAATGCTGGTGGTGAGAGGCGACAGGTCTTCAGCAACCAATGTTGGTCGTGAGAGGCGAGTGGTCTTCAGCAACCAATGCTGGTCGTGAGAGGCGAGTGGTCTTCAGCAACCAATGCTGGTCGTGAGAGGCGACTGGTCTTCAGCAACCAATGCTGGTCGTGAGAGGCGACAGGTCTTCAGCAACCAATGTTGGTCGTGAGAGGCGAGTGGTCTTCAGCAACCAATGCTGGTCGTGAGAGGCGACAGGTCTTCAGCAACCAATGCTGGTCGTGAGAGACGACTGGTCTTCAGCAACCAATGCTGGTCATGAGAGGCGACTGGTCTTCAGCAATCAATGCTGGTCGTGAGAGGCGACTGGTCTTCAGCAACCAATGCTGGTCGTGGGAGGCGAGTTGTCTTCAGCAACCAATGTTGGTCATGAGGGGCGACTGGTCTTCAGCTACCAATGCTGGTCGTGAGAGGCGACTGGTCTTCAGCAACCAATGTTGGTCGTGAGAGGCGACTGGTCTTCAGCAACCAATGCTGGTCATGAGAGGCGACTGGTCTTCAGCAACCAATGTTGGTCGTGAGAGGCGACTGGTCTTCAGCAACCAATGCTGATCGACTGGTCTTCAGCAACCAATGCTGGTCGTGAGAGGCGAGTGGTCTTCAGCAACCAATGTTGGTCATGAGAGGCGACAGGTCTTCAGCAACCAATGCTGGTCGTGGGAGGCGACTGGTCTTCAGCAACCAATGTTGGTCGTGAGAGGCGAGTGGTCTTCAGCAACCAATGCTGGTCGTGAGAGGCCACTGGTCTTCAGCAACCAATGCTGGTCGTGAGAGGCGACTGGTCTTCAGCAACCAATGTTGGTCGTGAGAGGCGACTGGTCTTCAACAACCAATGCTTGATCGGGGGCCAAGGCTCGCTGACTTGGTTGAAGCATGTCATCATATCCCAATTGCATAGATCGTTGCTCATGATGTCAATCACTCGATTGTCTGGTCCAGGCTCGATTATTTACAGACCGCCGTCATATAGCTGGAGTGCGGCGTTAAAAACCATAAACAAACAATCGATCAATCACGCAGCTGTGCGAAATATTTAATCTCAACACTTTGAAAATCGTCACGCAATATCAGTAAACATATGTAAAAATGTTTAATAGTCCCACATGGGTTAAACCTGGTTACGGAGATTCACCCTGGTGGCTACGCTGAAATATCATGTCCTACGGTGGATGAAGTACAAGTCACATGGAGAACGTACACGTGGATGAAGAATGGACACAATGTGTCAGTCAGCGATAAACACTACATTGACGTAAATGGTAAGTCTGCAAAAGTGTTTCACTTCCTTGACGGTCCCTGTCACTTCCTTGACGCTCCTGGTAAAATATGAGATTTTCAGCAAGGTCATCCCGATTACGGCTCTTGCATTATGATTTACAATTGCTGAACACATTTGTAAGGCTGTTTTATATATATATATATATATTAATGATTCGGATTAATCTAGAAGGTATTGATTGCCTTAATCTCACAATTTGACCCGTTGTAATTTAAATTTGGAACTAGATTGAAAATGAATACAGTATTAGATCGTGTTGCTTACTCGAACTTTATATCAATTAACCACCGTTCAATTTGAACTGGCTTGTATGTACATATATATAGTTACATGCGCTAGTATAGCTTTCCTATTTCTATTTTTCATGTAGGAAACCTCCATATTTTGAATTTGGACAGCCTTGATGTTGGCAATTATTCCTGCACTATTAAGTTTACAAACATCATCATTGCTCCAACATTAAAATACACTACTTACCTGACAGTGGACGGTCAGTCACACAATGGACAGACACATTCCAATGCTACTAACACTTCTAACGCAGGCAAGAACGTCACCACATCGAACAATTCTGTAGCTTTCGATTCAATTGCAACATCCATACAAACAGCTGGTGCTCTGAATCCTGAAATATACATGTCTACTGTCAAACCTACACAAACAGCTAGTGTTCAAAGTCCTGAAATATACATGTCTGCTGTCAAACCTACACAAACAGCTGGTGTTCAAAGTCCTGAAATATACATGTCTACTGTGAAACCTACACTAACAGCTAGTGTTCACAGTATTGAAATATACATGTCTACTGTCAAACCTACACAAACAGCAAGTGTTCACAGTTCTGAAATATACATGTCTGCTGTCAAACCTACACAAACACCTGGTGTTCACAGTTCTGAAATATACATGTCTACTGTCAAACCTACACAAACAGCAAGTGTTCACAGTTCTGAAATATACATGTCTGCTGTCAAACCTAAACAAACAGCTGGTGTTCACAGTTCTGAAATATACATGTCTACTGTCAAACCTACACAAACAGCAAGTGTTCACAGTTCTGAAATATACATGTCTGCTGTCAAACCTACACAAACAGCTGGTGTTCACAGTTCTGAAATAAACATGTCTACTGTCAAACCTACACAAACAGCTGGACGGCAGTCCACTCAAACCAGAGGTAAGATGTCGTATCAAGGAAACTGCTTTGGGTGATAACACTTCCGTATGGTTTACGTAATGAGAGACTGTCTATGACAAGGCTAATGACATGTAATCCCCGCCTATCACTAATCAGAGTGAGTGAGTGAGTTGGATTTAACGCTGCTTTTAACATTAGTCCAGTAATACGGTGTGTCAGCTTAATGTGGGAGGAAATCCCGAAGTGATGCAAGTCTCAGACGATTACCACTTCGGTGAAACCCACAAGCACGGGTATGGTGCTGACAAACCTAGAAACATAATCGGGGCGAACTGGGATTTAAACCCACAGTCATAGGTTTCTGAAGTGTTCAAGGGACAAAACTCTGCACAGCCAATCGCGGCGCCTGTGATAAATGGGCCACCCGCGCCCCCACTAACCAGAGGCAATTGACCAATGTGGGCCAAATTATGTACAAACCGTTTATTTGGTTGTCACTTAAATGATTACAAAACGAAATATTTTATCGTTTCACTGTTACGTTATACTTCATACACATATATCACTATTACTTAGCTGAATTTAATTAAAAGGAGTTGAATTGTGTGTCATGATACTTGTAGACACACCTTTATGTATTTGCAAAACAAAACAGCAATTTTGAAGGAAAATATTCTCGTCCATTGGCTATTGTTGGGCCATGGGCTATTGTTGGGCCATGGGCAGGCCCGTGGGCGACATACATGTAGTTTGAATTTTGAGTTATCGAAACAATTGTATTTTATTGTTTCATCCTTAGTATGCATATACTGTTGAAAACAGCATGTTGAATTGTGTGAGTACCTTAGACTAGAGTTTCTGGACAAATGGGTTTCCAGAACTGAAATTTTGGACGTGTCATGTATAGTTTGTTTATGTAATGTTACCTATTGTTGAAGGGCATATCATTGCCATCAGTCGTAGAAACCTATCAGCGGAAGCTGCAATTGTGTCATATGTAAAACCGGCCCGTAAAGATCCGGGGAAGAATAGGCAACCCATGCTTGCCGTGAAAGGCGACTATGCTTGTCGTAAGAGGCGACTAACGGGATCGGGTGGTCAGGCTCGCTGACTTGGTTGATGCATGTCATCGATCCCAATTGCGTGGATAGATGCTCATGACGTCAATCACTGGATTGTCTGGTCCAGGTTCAATTATTTACAGACCACCATCATAAAGCTGGAATATTGCTGAGTGCGGCGTTAAACAACAAACAAACAAACATTTGTATAACCATAACAAAAATAGTCTTTGCACCTTTTGCATGTCAGGTCTTGAAACAATCATGGTCACCAAACCACAGAACTATACCTACGGGGATAATGTGACGATCGAGTGCTTGTGCAACGGACAGTGAGTAGCTATAACTATATTGTTTTATTACTGTTTTTTGTCCCACAGCGTGATAGCAATAACACCAGTAGAGGAGCCATCGTTAAATCGCCAACAGTTAGAAAGTGTAGGAATAAACACGCAACCGGGGATTTGATTGAAAATGTCTTCGAACCTCGGGCTTTTCCCGAGCTCAAGGTTTTACATTTTCAACCAAAACCGAGGAGGCGTGTTTTATCCAACTTATGAACCGTCTAAATCCAAGCAATACCAGAAAAAAATAAGAAAACATTGAAATACCTTCTAGTGAAACAATACGGCCTGTTGCGGTATAAAAAGACGAGAGAAGACCAACGTGCAGCATGGACTAGCTGGAGTCATGACATGATACATTTAACAACTGCTTATCACCTGCCTCGGTAGCTCAGTGGGAAAACGGTGGGTAACAAAACAGGTTCGATTCATGTAAAAAGAAAAGTGTGACTTTTGAATTGTGTTCACATCAAGAGGCACGTTTATTAAACGTTAATTGTAAAACCAAAAGTATTGAAATATAAAAGCTCAAAACAGGTTTGGAAGTGATCTATTTCAAATCCAGATTTGGAAAAGAACCGCTTTAAAACCTGGGCTTGGAAGATGAGCTGATTACAAGGTTTACCTGAAGTTGTCAGGAACCTAAAGCAATGTAGGGTAATACGTTGATAGGTTAAGTCAGCCTCATACATGATGTGACGTGAAATTGGGTTTAACGTCGCGTCCAAGATTATTGCACTTACACTCTTCAAAAAAAGAAACGCACAGGTAGTATGTAGTTCATTGAACCTGACTACACAAAAAAATCCGGTATATAAATTGGATGTATGTTATCGGAAAATGGTGGTTGTCTGATATTCGACAAACGGTGCGACAAAACGCAAACGTTGTCGATTTACAACGTCTTAAACGGCTTTGTTTTCACACTTGTTCAAAAATGGAGGAAAACAGTAAGGCAAAATGTACGTGCAAGTATTGGCATTCGTAACTCTTGGTAGTGGCTATAAAACGGCAAGCATAAGCCAATAATTTGTCATTCAAAAGTCAACGGTTTTCATGTTCGAAAATGCCGAGACTCAGCGCTGCTGATCGGAACATCGTCATAGGACGTATCCAAAGAGGGGAATCTGTCTTCTGTTGCATGCCACTTCAACGTCCACTACAGCACCATTTGCCGCCTTTGGGACTGATACACACAGTTCAATTCCACTGCAGACCGTCCGAGAACCGGCCGACCAAGAGTTACCACCCCGAACCGGATCGCTATAGTGCCACAGGACGCATCCCTGCTTTGAGGAGGATATTGGATCAGACTGTCAGGAACCATCTTCGCGAGGCTGGAATCCGACCCAGAAGACCAGTTATAGTCCCTGTTTTGCAACAGATCCATCGACAGCGCCGCTTGCGTTGGGGCAAAACCTTACAGCCTTGGAATTTGAGAAAATTGAGACGTGGTTTAGCGATGATTAACGATTTCCTCTTCACGGGCCAGATGAAAGACAACGTGTTTATCGTCGTCGAAATGCGCGTTTTGCCCCACATTGTGTACTCGAATTCGACAATTGCGGTGGCGGTAGTGTCTTGGTGTGCGGGGCCATATCCTACACCACGAGATCTGACTTGGTTGTGGTTCAGGAAAATGTGACAGAAAATCGCTACCTGAATCAAATTCTTCAACCTCACCTTCTTCCAATCATTGACAGCCAGAGGGAGCGGTTTCAACAGGACAACGCTCCACCACACACAGCTCGTGTCACGGTAGACTACCTTCATAATGCCAACATCAACGACTTGCCCTGGCCGTCGAGATCTCAAGATCTCAACCCAATCGAACACCTCTGGGATGAACTCGATCGACGTGTGCGTCAACGTCAGAACACGCCACATACACTCCCACACACGGCCAACACTTTAGAAGTAGAATGGCGCAGAATTCCGCAGGACAGAATTGGTACACTTTTCCAGTCAGTGCCGCGGAGATGCAGAGCTGTGATTGCTGCCCGGGGCGGTCACACAAGATGCCGAGTTCAGCGCCACTTTGTGGCCTTATGTGACATGACAATGAACAGTTTTCAATGCCTTTGTACAACGACAACATATGACTTTTGAGCTCCAAACTTTCATATTTGTATCTATGATATTACTTAATTATTTCTACTTTATTAGGTACTATAAATTTACTAAATATCTATATATGCGTTTCTTATGTTGGAGAGCGCATATAACGACTTGCACGCGTGTGGCTGCTTGTACTAGTCCGGACTGATGCCGATTTATAGCGCTTGCTCACTGAGATACCATGCCGCAGTTTAACATGAATACCCCACGCAGACACAGTAAACTGACTCCGAGCCGACCAGTCCTTGTTTTGGCCCCTTAATGCCGAGCGCCAGATAGGGTTACAACAAGTACCATCTTTTAACGTCTTTTGGTAGGACGGGGCCGGGGATCAAACCACGAAACTTCTGCTCTCCGGGCGGACGGTTGATTTGTTGGAACTTCAAGAAATAGTGATGCATGTTTCATCCTATTCAATGTACCCGTGAAGATCCGGGGTAGAATAGGTCTTCAGCAACCCATGCTTGCCGTAAAAGGTGACTGTGCTTGTCGTGAGAGGCGACTAACGGGATCGGGTGGTCAGGCTCGCTGACTTGGTTGATGCATATCATCGTATCCCAATTGCGTGTATCGATGCTTATGATGTCAATCACTGGATGGTCATATGCTGACATATGATTGTCGTTGTTTCCCTGCCTCGCGCTCGGCATTAATGTGACAAACAAGGACTGATCTCTTCAGAGTCAGTACACTGTAGCCATGTTAAACCTCGGCATGGTATCTCAGTGGTCAATGTAAAAATGTCGGACGAGATCGGACTATTACAATCATCACACGCAAAGGCACACGCACACGCACACGCACACGCACACGCACACACCCACACAATATAAGTGCAATAATATTGAACGTGACGTAAAACAACATTCCCCCTCTCACATCACGTCCCTTCAATCATAAAGCACCATGTCTATGTACGAATACCACTCTGACACATACACAGAATCACGGTGTTACAAACTTGTCACTTACTTGTCACAGGACAGATAAAGGACATCCGACTGTTTCATGGACATTTCCGAAAACAAAAACGAAGAACATGAATTCTAGTTCGGACACATACCAAAGAAGACTGGTCATTTCAAAGGCTGACCACAATAATTCAGGAAATTACACCTGTACCTGTCACAACTCAAGTCGTCCCACAGACTCCAAGACAATAGCGATAGTCATCCAGGGTAAGTCTCAATAAACATTACATCAGTTTTGTGGATACGGTCTTTGAATACACAAGTGGTCAAATGTAACTGTGACAAGTGTAAACGGCTCCCAAAGCGATGAAAAGTTATTTTTGTTAGCGATTAGGTGCCTCACTCTTGGAGCATGGGCTCGAATCCCAGATGGGACTCAACCCAAAAAGGTACTAGAATCTGTACTTTATTAAGAAAGAGTTCTCCAAAATGTGACATTTGTTACATTTGACCACTTTCTAAATGGCATTGTGTGTTCACAGCTTTAGGCAATGGGAGCCTGCCAATTTACACTTGTCAGAGGGGTACACAAAGTATGTGATCTAGACTGCCAGTTGCCGGACCTTCATTTTTGTGGAAGCATCGGTGGCTGAGTGGTTTAGATCGCCGGCTTTGTGTGCTGGCGATTAGGTGCCTCAGTCTGGGAGTGTGGGCTCGAAACCCGGATTGGACTCAACCCCAAAAAAGTACTAGAAGATGTAGAAGTTTGTTAGATAGTGTATTTGTTTCGCCGTACATGTGATGTCGCTAAGGTAGTCGCTGCTCGTCGTGCAATATGCAACCAGAAGGTTCGAATCCCAGATTGACCTCAATTATTATGATCCGTTTTGGGCTAACTATAAGTGTCCCACCCCCTCTTCACATGCACACACACACACACGCGCACGCACGCACGCACACGCACACGCACACGCACACGCACACGCACACACACACACACACACATGCACACACACACACACATATGCACACACACAAGCACGCGCACACACACATGTACATACGCACACAAACACACACACGCGCGCACGCACACACATGCACACACACAAGCACGCGTGCGCACACATAAACACATACACACACATACACGCATACAAACATGCATACACAGATGCACATACACACATGTAGACACAAACATACATATGCACATACACATACACAGGCACACGTATACATACAGATTCACACGTGTAGGTACACACATAAACACACAGACTCAGACACACGTACACACATTACGAAGATACACAATGATATAACTGATATACTGAAAACGTGGCATTAATCATGTATGGAGTAACAGTGAGGCTGGAAAGGTCGTATTGAGCTGCATCTAATTTACATCCCTCCATTGTTACAGGTCAATGACCGTATGTGTTATGTGGGTTGCCATCATCAACCGTCTAATTCCCTACAATTCCCTAACACAATTTCTGACGCTTGCAACACTGAGTATATTTTTGAACATGTGTTCATTTATCATCCAAAACTGACTCCCACAGAAGATATCGCTTGGATGAGATCAAGCGATTTCTACATTGTAGATACCGCGGTAAAGAAATTGCATCACAATGCTTTGCAGACCATTGTGACGTCATTGTTACATGACGTCACAATCAAATTACATCACTAATGGTTCTACCGAAGCTGTTAGCAGCCCTTTTTACACTTAAGACACTGCTTATTACTGTCTACAAACTGAAAAAGGTGGAAGAATGATGTTAGATGATAAATAAAATCTCACCCGAGTGTCTTTTGATATATATACAACACTCGTAGTTTTTACACTCTTATCAACTCGTGTTGATATATTTGATATCAAAAGACACTCGGGTGAGATTCTATATATATTGTCGTGAACTGAATCTTCAGAGGTTTGGGGACTTTTGCCCCAGTGGTAATGACACCTCCTTTCGTATTCTGTGGCAGCTGACTACCTATGGGTGAAGAAACCAACTCCTGTAGTTGTGATGGCAGGCAGCAGTGCCAGATTTACATGTCACGCCCGATGGAGTGACAACAGGCAGCGCAACCCCAACATCACGTGGTACATCAACTATGTTCCTATAGATAACGGTAAATCTCATACATGATATTGATATATACTTATGGGGGGACAAATTAGCAGCCCTATCACTATTGCTATCTGTCAGCTCAAGTTATTACCCAAACATAATGAATACATTTCATATATGACAATAATGTCCAGACATAGAAGCCGCAAAGATACGGGTCAGAACGGGATCGGGTGGTCAGGATCGCTGACGTGCTTCATGTATCCCATTTGCGTGGATTGATGCTCATGATGTCGTTCACTGGATTGTCTAATCCACACTCGATTTTTACACAGACCGCCGTTATATAGCTGGAATATTGCTGAGTGTGGCGTTAACCAACAAACAAAGTAAGGGCCCTTTCATTAACTCTGCGTATAGATTCAGGTGAAATATTTGTTGACAAAGCCATGCTGTATAGCTTTATGACCTTCATGTCAGTGATTTGTTTGTTTGTTTGTTGTTTAATGCCGCACTCAGCAATATTCAGGTATATTTTGGCTGGACTAACGAGTCCATGGATAGTCCAATCGAAATCGCGTAATGAAATCGACATCCGGTTGTTTTTATTCAAGGTGCTCAGGTGAAATGATATAAGAGGTGGAATACGATTGGTCAATAGGAGGGACATAGAAGGGACATAACTCGTAATAGCCACTGGTAGCGCTTCGATCTGGCACAGAAATTCCAGCCTAGTTCGGCAAAACTGGAGACTGGACTTTTACAGTTAGGTAACTCCCTTGCCTCGCGAAGATGAGGGACAGAGAACGGGAGGCCCAGTGGTCTAAGCCGCCGCAATGTGCAGAGTTGAGTCCCGTCGAACTCGTCAGAAACCTATGTTCGTGGGTTCGAATCCCGGTTCGCCCCGATTATGTTTGTCAGCACCTTACCCTAGTTCGTGGACTTCACCAAAGTGGTAAATGTCTGGCTGGGACAGGCATCACTTCGGGCTTTCCTCCCCCATTGAGTTCACAAGCCGATATATAACCTGAAGACTGTCAAAGCGGGCTAAAACCTGATTCACTCACTCACTCATTCTTCACTCCTCTTCACCTGACCGCCTCCATGGTCCAGTGGTAGAGCGTCCGCCCGGAGAGCGGAAGATTCGGGATTCGATCATTGGCCGCGTTATACCAATATATACGTTAAAATATGGTACTTGTTATTACCCTGCCTGGCAATCGGCTTTAAGGGGCTAAAACAAGGACTGGTCGGCTCGGAGTCAGATCAGTATACTGTGTTCATGTTAGTACAAGCAGCCACACACACACACACACACACACACGCACGCACGCACGCACGCACGCACGCACACACACACACACACACACACACACACACACACACAAACACACACACACACACGCGTCGCTGTATGGGTGCAAGAATCTTGGCCGCCATGTTCAACCCTGCTTCACCTCTTCTGCACCTCTTAAAGCTTTACATTGGCTACCTGCAAAGGCCATAATAGAGTACAAAATGATATGTGTGAATTTTCAATGCCAGATTTGAATTGCTCCCGACTACCTCGTTGAGCTCATCAATCCATATATTCCATCAAGACAAATTTGATCAGAGCATCAATACTGTCTTACAGTGCCTTAGTGCAATCGATCCTCCCACAGTACAGCTGAGAACTCCGTGACAGAACTGTTCAAAGTGGCGTTGAACCACTCACTCACTCACCCTGTCTTCTAGGTTCCATGCTGACAGCATCTTCACGAGGCAAGAGAGTTAACTGACTTTAATAATCCAGTTGCCACCCGTGCCGAACTGGGCTTGAATTCCTGGACTCGATCGTAGCGACACCAGTGGTTATTACGAGTTATGTCCCTTCTAAGCCTCAACTATGGACCAATCAGATTCCATCACTTGCATTTGTTTCAAACAAAATGGCGGCGCCCAGTCAAGACGATCTGATCGATAATCAAGATCTTTATTGTGATAAAACGGGTCTTACATCGCGAAGTGCATGAATTCACGCGAGCATCTTGATTAAAAACATGAAAAGGTTTGGAAAGAATATCTGTTGACAACGAGTTGGCGGTGCACATGCTTTGCAAATCCTGCAATCGACCGAAATCTTCACGAGGGTTTACGAACCGGATGGTTTTCGATTTCGTTGCGCGATTTTGATTGGACTATGCATAAACTCGTTAGTCCAGCCAAAATGTAACTCCATAATACAAGCCTAGTTCGGCAAGGGTGGAAACTGGACTTTTACAGTCAGTTAACTCCCTTGCCTCGGGAAGATGTGCTGACAGAGGAACAGGTATTTAACATATCTCATCCTTTGCGCAAACAGTAGATATGGAAAGATATTTAAATGATGTTGCTCTCGTTCACGTCTTTTGTATAAACAGTGGTCATTGAAATTTATTTTAATGCCTTTGCTACTATTTCATCTCCTTGATGTCAGAAAACGGAATCATGATTGAATTCGAAAATGTCAGCCGGATAAGGAACATTCATAACATCCAATGCAGAACCACATCTGAACCCCGTAGCCTGTACTTCAACAGTTATTTACGAGTTATAGGTGAGTCCATATTCCTAACAAGGAGGATTGCTTGCTTTGTGTAGTGTAGGTGATGACGAATATTAGCTACAAATTCATAACGACAGCTGATCAATTGTAATGAGTGAGTATGGTTTTACGCCGCTTTTAGCAATATTCCAGCAATATCACGGCGGGGGACACCAGAAATGGGCTTCACACATTGTACCCATGTCGGGAATCGAACCCGGGTCTTCGGCGTGACGAGCTAACGCTTTAACCACTAGGCTACCCGACCGTCCCCTGATCAATTGTAACTGTTTAAAACATGATAGAACATTAATCTCAAGACAAAGGCAGCTAATGCTAATGATTACAATTGTTTCTGTCAGGGTAATATTTGACAAATATTTGCTAAAACAGACTTGCCCTTCACACTCAAGGGTCCCGTTCCACAGATGTACGCGCAAAGACTGGCTAAGCCCATGTTAGGTGTGAGATATTAGCGTTAAGAATAGTGTAAGTGTGTTATACATGTGGGATCTTATTGGAAAGACTGGCTAAGCCCATGTTAGGTGTGAGATATTAGCGTTTAGAATAGTGTAAGTGTGTTATACATGTGGGATCTTATTGCAAAGACTGGCTAAGCCCATGTTAGGTGTGGGATATTAGCGTTAAGAATAGTGTAAGTGTGTTATACATGTGGGATCTTATTGCAAAGACTGGCTAAGCCCATGTTAGGTGTGAGAAATTAGCGTTAAGAATAGTGTAAGTGTGTTATACATGTGGGATCTTATTGCTAACACTAGTGTGAGCCCATGTTAAGTGTGAGGTGTTAGCGTTAAGAATAGTGTAAGTGTGTTATACATGTGGGATCTTATTGCTAACACTAGTGTGAGCCCATGTTAAGTGTGAGGTGTTAGCGTTAAGAATAGTGTAAGTGTGTTATACATGTGGGATCTTATTGCTAACACTTGTGTAAGCCCATGTTAAGTGTGAGATATTAGCGTTAAGAATAGTGTAAGTATATTATACATGTGGGATCTAATTGCTAACACTAGTGTAAGCCCATGTTAACTGTGAGATATTAGCGTTAAGAATAGTGTAAGTATATTATACATGTGGGATCTTATTGCTAAAACTAGTGTAAGCCAATGTTAAGTGTGAGATATTAGCGTTAAGAATAGTGTAAGTGTGTTATACATGTGGGATCTTATTGCTAACACTAGTGTGAGCCCATGTTAAGTGTGAGGTGTTAGCGTTAAGAATAGTGTAAGTGTGTTATACATGTGGGATCTTATTGCTAACACTAGTGTGAGCCCATGTTAGGTGTGAGATATTAGCGTTAAGAATAGTGTAAGTGTGTTATACATGTGGGATCTTATTGCTAACACTAGTGTGAGCCCATGTTAAGTGTGAGATATTAGCGTTAAGAATAGTGTAAGTATATTATACATGTGGGATCTTATTGCTAACACTAGTGTAAGCCCATGTTAAGTGTGAGATATTAGCGTTAAGAATAGTGTAAGTATATTATACATGTGGGATCTTATTGCTAAAACTAGTGTAAGCCCATGTTAAGTGTGAGATATTAGCGTTAAGAATAGTGTAAGTGTGTTATACATGTGGGATCTTATTGCTAACACTAGTGTGAGCCCATGTTAAGTGTGAGGTGTTAGCGTTAAGAATAGTGTAAGTGTGTTATACATGTGGGATCTTATTGCTAACACTAGTGTAAGCCCATGTTAAGTGTGAGATATTAGCGTTAAGAATAGTGTAAGTATATTATACATGTGGGATCTTATTGCTAACACTAGTGTAAGCCCATGTTAAGTGTGAGGTATTAGCGTTAAGAATAGTGTAAGTATAGTATACATGTGGGATCTTATTGCTAACACTAGTGTGAGCCCATGTTAGGTGTGAGATATTAGCGTTAAGAATAGTGTAAGTATATTATACATGTGGGATCTTATTGCTAACACTAGTGTGAGCCCATGTTTAGTGTGAGGTGTTAGCGTTAAGAATAGTGTAAGTGTGTTATACATGTGGGATCTTATTGCTAACACTAGTGTAAGCCCATGTTAAGTGTGAGGTGTTAGCGTTAAGAATAGTGTAAGTGTGTTATACATGTGGGATCTTATTGCTAACACTAGTGTGAGCCCATGTTAAGTGTGAGGTATTAGCGTTAAGAATAGTGTAAGTATATTATACATGTGGGATCTTATTGCTAACACTAGTGTAAGCCCATGTTAAGTGTGAGGTGTTAGCGTTAAGAATAGTGTAAGTGTGTTATACATGTGGGATCTTATTGCTAACACTAGTGTGAGCCCATGTTAAGTGTGAGGTATTAGCGTTAAGAATAGTGTAAGTATATTATACATGTGGGATCTTATTGCAAAGACTATGGCTAAGCCCATGTTAAGTGTGAGATATTAGCGTTAAGAATAGTGTAAGTGTGTTATACATGTGGGATCTTATTGCTAACACTAGTGTGAGCCCATGTTAAGTGTGAGGTGTTAGCGTTAAGAATAGTGTAAGTGTGTTATACATGTGGGATCTTATTGCTAACACTAGTGTAAGCCCATGTTAAGTGTGAGGTGTTAGCGTTAAGAATAGTGTAAGTGTGTTATACATGTGGGATCTTATTGCTAACACTAGTGTGAGCCCATGTTAAGTGTGAGGTATTAGAGTTAAGAATAGTGTAAGTATATTATACATGTGGGATCTTATTGCTAACACTAGTGTAAGCCCATGTTAAGTGTGAGGTATTAGCGTTAAGAATAGTGTAAGTATATTATACATGTGGGATCTTATTGCAAAGACTATGGCTAAGCCCATGTTAAGTGTGAGATATTAGCGTTAAGAATAGTGTAAGTGTGTTATACATGTGGGATCTTATTGCTAACACTAGTGTAAGCCCATGTTAAGTGTGAGGTATTAGCGTTAAGAATAGTGTAAGTGTGTTATACATGTGGGATCTTATTGCTAACACTAGTGTGAGCCCATGTTAAGTGTGAGATATTAGCGTTAAGAATAGTGTAAGTATATTATACATGTGGGATCTTATTGCTAACACTAGTGTAAGCCCATGTTAAGTGTGAGGTATTAGCGTTAAGAATAGTGTAAGTATATTATACATGTGGGATCTTATTGCAAAGACTATGGCTAAGCCCATGTTAAGTGTGAGATATTAGCGTTAAGATTGGTGTAAGTGTGTTATACATGTGGGATCTTATTGCTAACACTAGTGTAAGCCCATGTTAAGTGTGAGGTATTGGCGTTAAGAATAGTGTAAGTATATTATACATGTGGGATCTTATTGCTAACACTAGTGTAAGCCTATGTTAAGTGTGAGATATTAGCGTTAAGAATAGTGTAAGTATATTATACATGTGGGATCTTATTGCTAACACTAGTGTAAGCCCATGTTAAGTGTGAGATATTAGCGTTAAGAATAGTGTAAGTATATTATACATGTGGGATCTTATTGCTAACACTAGTGTAAGCCCATGTTAAGTGTGAGATATTAGCGTTAAGAATAGTGTAAGTATATTATACATGTGGGATCTTATTGCTAACACTAGTGTAAGCCCATGTTAAGTGTGAGATATTAGCGTTAAGAATAGTGTAAGTATATTATACATGTGGGATCTTATTGCTAACACTAGTGTGAGCCCATGTTAAGTGTGAGGTGTTAGCGTTAAGAATAGTGTAAGTGTGTTATACATGTGGGATCTTATTGCTAACACTAGTGTAAGCCCATGTTAAGTGTGAGGTGTTAGCGTTAAGAATAGTGTAAGTGTGTTATACATGTGGGATCTTATTGCTAACACTAGTGTGAGCCCATGTTAAGTGTGAGGTATTAGAGTTAAGAATAGTGTAAGTATATTATACATGTGGGATCTTATTGCTAACACTAGTGTAAGCCCATGTTAAGTGTGAGGTATTAGCGTTAAGAATAGTGTAAGTATATTATACATGTGGGATCTTATTGCAAAGACTATGGCTAAGCCCATGTTAAGTGTGAGATATTAGCGTTAAGAATAGTGTAAGTGTGTTATACATGTGGGATCTTATTGCTAACACTAGTGTAAGCCCATGTTAAGTGTGAGGTATTAGCGTTAAGAATAGTGTAAGTGTGTTATACATGTGGGATCTTATTGCTAACACTAGTGTGAGCCCATGTTAAGTGTGAGATATTAGCGTTAAGAATAGTGTAAGTATATTATACATGTGGGATCTTATTGCTAACACTAGTGTAAGCCCATGTTAAGTGTGAGATATTAGCGTTAAGAATAGTGTAAGTATATTATACATGTGGGATCTTATTGCTAACACTAGTGTAAGCCCATGTTAAGTGTGAGATATTAGCGTTAAGAATAGTGTAAGTATATTATACATGTGGGATCTTATTGCTAACACTAGTGTAAGCCCATTTTAAGTGTGAGATATTAGCGTTAAGAATAGTGTAAGTATATTATACATGTGGGATCTTATTGCTAACACTAGTGTAAGCCAATGTTAAGTGTGAGATATTAGCGTTAAGAATAGTGTAAGTATATTATACATGTAGGACTTTATTGCTAACACTAGTGTGAGCCTATGTTAAGTGTGAGATATTAGAGTTAAGAATAGTGTAAGTGTGTTATACATGTGGGATCTTATTGCTAACACTAGTGTAAGCCAATGTTAAGTGTGGGATATTAGCGTTAAGAATAGTGTAAGTATGTTATACATGTTAGATCTTATCGTTAAAACTAGTGTATGCCAATGTTAAGTGTGGGATATTAGCGTTAAAAATAGTGTAAGTGTGTTATACATGTGGGATCTTATCGCTGAAACTAGTGTATGCAAATGTTAAGTGTGGGATATTAGCGTTGAGAATAGTGTAAGTGTGTTATAAGTATGGGATCTTATCCCTAAAACTAGTGTATGCCCATGTTAAGTGTGAGATATTAGCGTTAAGAATAGTGTAAGTGTGTTATACATGTGGGATCTTATCGCTAAAACTAGTGTATGCCAATGTTAAGTGTGAGATATTAGCGTTAAGAATAGTGTAAGTATATTAAACATGTGAGATCGTATTGCTAAAACTAGTTTAAGTTCATGTTAAGTGTGGGATATTAGCGTTAAGTATGGGATCTTATCGCTAAAACTAGTGTATGCCAATGTTAAGTGTGAGATATTAGCGTCAAGGATAGTGTAAGTATATTATACATGTGGTGTCTTATCGCTAAAACTAGTGTAAGCCCATGTTAAGTGTGAGATATTAGCGTTAAGAATAGTTGAAGTATATTATACATGTGAGATCGTATCGCTAAAACTAGTGTAAGTTTCCATCAAGTGTGGGATATTAGCGTTAAGTATCTGACCGTATCGCTAAAACTAGGGTATGCCAATGTTAAGTGTGAGATATTAGCGTTAAGAATAGTGTAAGTATATTATACATGTGGGATCGTATCGCTAAAACTAGTGTAAGCAAATGTTAAGTGTGAGATATAAGCGTTAAGAATAGTGTAAGTATGTTATACATGTGGGATCTTATCGCTAAAACTAGTGTAAGCCTATGTAAAGTGTGAGATATTAGCGTTAAGAATAGTGTAAGTATATTATACATGTGGGATCTAATTGCTAAAACTAGTGTAAGCCAATGTTAAGTGTGAGATATTAGCGTTAAGAATAGTGTAAGTATATTATACATGTGAGATCGTATTGCTAAAACTAGTGTAAGTTTCTATCAAGTGTGGGATATTAGCGTTAAGTATCTGAGCGTATCGCTAAAACTAGTGTATGCCAATGTTAAGTGTGAGATATTAGCGTTAAGAATAGTGTAAGTATATTATACATGTGGGATCGTATCGCTAAAACTAGTGTAAGCCCATGTTAAGTGTGAGATATTAGCGTTAAGAATAGTGTAAGTATATTATACATGTGGGATCTTATCGCTAAAACTAGTGTAAGGCTATGTCAAGTGTGAGATATTAGCGTTAAGAATAGTGTAAGTGTGTTATACATGTGGGATCTTATTGCTAACACTAGTGTAAGCCTATGTTAAGTGTGAGATATAAGCGTTAAGAATAGTGTAAGTGTGTTATACATGTGGGATCTTATCGCTGAAACTAGTGTATGCAAATGTTAAGTGTGAGATATTAGCGTTAAGTATAGTGTAAGTATATTATACATGTGGGATCTTATTGCTAAAAGTAGTGTAAGCAAATGTTAAGTGTGAGATATTAGCGTTAAGAATAGTGTAAGTATATTATAAGTATTGGATCTTATCGCTAAAACTAGTGTAAGTATATGTTAAGTGCTGGATATTTGCGTTAAGTAAAGGATCGTATCGCTAAATCCAGTGTAAGCTCATGTTAAGTGTCAGATATTAGCGGTAAGATAGCTTTGGGAAATGGGGCTGAGGGATGTTTGGGACCCCGGAGGTGACATACTCCCCCAAACTGCAAACGTTCCATGTCATCGATAATATTGTGATATTGTGTGTTTCTTTTAATATGTAAATTTCCTTATATGCTTTTATAATACATTAATGAAATCAAGTGCATATATACTTTATATGTACAACATTTACATATTTCAAAATGTATCTATTATACCCAAAGGCAAAAACGTCTGTTATATTCTTCTACATTATAGCACTCTTTTTCTTTGAAGATAGATAATCAAAAGTGGTCATTCTCTTGCATTGTTTGGGGCACGGGTGGCCCAGTCGTCTAAGGCGCCGCGATTCGCTGTGCAGAGTGGCGTCCCTCGGGCACGCCAGAAACATATGATTGTGAGTTCGAATCCCGGTTCGCCCCAATTATGTTTCTAGGTTTGTTAGCCCCATACCCGTGCTCGTGGGTTTCGCCGAAGTGGTAAACGTCTGAGACCTGCATCACTTGGGGCTTTCCTCCCACATTAAGCTGACACACCGTGATATAACTGGAATAATGTTAAAAACGGCGTTAAACCCAACTCACTCACTCACTCTTGCATTTTTTTTTTGTACTTAAGAGAGGGACACTGAGGGGTGTGGACTCATTTAAAGCGAAACCTTCCCTCTTTTCAGAACCAATGTTGATCAGTATTGGTACAGACACAGCAAACATCACGATCACGGCTGAGAATCCCAGCTTTGCGTTGCCCGTTGTTCTCGCCACAGACCAGTCAGTGGAAAACAGATTGTCTTGGGAACATATTCCCGAAAACGATTTCTTAGCTGCGACTCTAAAAGGGGAAAATTCTAACATTCTCACACGTACTAGCAACAGTACTGCATGGGAGTCGTTACTTGGAACATACATATTCAGAGTCCACAATAAGTATGAAGACAGAAGCATAACTTTTTATGTTACACGGAAGTCAAATGGTAAGTATTTGAATTTTGTCCGTGAGGATTCCGAGTAAGAATATAGATCCCCGGCAACCTATGCTTGTTGTGAAAATCGAATTAATCGATCAGGCTCGATGAGTTGATTAATTGCATGCCATCGTATCCCAAGTGTGTCGATCGGTGTTCATGATGTCCATCACTGGATTTACCGGTCCTGTCTCGATTATTTGCAGACCACCGTCATACGGCCGAAATATTGCCGGATAAATCGTTAAACAACTAACAAAGAAACAAAATCTTCTTAAACTCAAAATCATAAATAAAGCGAGAGATCGCAAACGAGAGTCGTAATAGCTCATACACAGGAATGCTTTTTACACATGGGACTGACCATTTGATATTTAGAGGGGGCGTTGTTTTGTTAGACTGAAAATGACACAAACACCGACCAAACCCCAATCACAACTCATCAAAACTAAAAGCGATAAAAAGATCTTCCTCAAATCTAAATATTTGTTGGAATTTTCAGACAAATTATTAGAATTCATTTCTAAACGATGCTAGTATTTAACTTAATTTCTTGAACCCTTGATATTTTTGGTTTTGGTTTGTTTTGTTGTTTAACGCCGCATTCAGCAATATTCTAGCTATATGAAGGCGGTCTGTAGATACTCGAGTTTGGACCTGACAGTCCAGTGATTAGCATCATGAGTATGGATCCACGCAATTGGGATACGATGACATGCATCACCCAAGTCAGCGAGCCTGACCACCCGATCCCGTTAGTCGCCTCTTACGACAAGCATAGTCGCCTTTTACGGCAAGCATGGGTTGCTGAAGACCTATTCTCTACACGGATCTTCACTGGTCTAATCCTTTGATAGCTGATCCGTTCCGCTGCACCATAAACAAATGCAATTGTAATTCCTGAAACCTTTGTACAGATGAACTTCTTCTGGAGACACGAGGTCCTTTTGAGAGGAACTATTACCTGGGCGAGATCCTTGGATTAGTGACAGTGGTGGCTTTGCTCATGGCACTCGGCATCGTGTACAAGGAAAGGGAGTGGATAAAGAAGGTAACAGTGTGTGTTGTACAACTCCGCAGTGTCACAGAAACGGGGGGTTGGACACGTCGCGCTGAAGGTTCAAGTGTAACCTGGGCCCGAGCTTTAGGAAGGAGGGGGCACGGGTGGCCCAGTCGTCTAAGGCGCCGCGATTCGCTGTGCAGAGTTGCGTCCCTTGGGCACGCCAGAAACATATGATTGTGGGTTCGAATCCCGTTTCGCCCCGATTATGTTTCTAGGTTTGTCAGCACCAGAGCCGTGCTCGTAGGTTTCACCGAAGTGGTAAACGTCTGAGACCTGCATCACTTGGGGCTTTCCTCCCACATTAAGCTGACACCGTGATAACTTGAATACTGTTAAAAGCGGCGTTAAACCCAACTCACTCACTCACTCACTTTAGGAAGGCTATTCTTAGTAACATTACACAATAAACACTCATTCACAAGATACCAGTTGTTTTGCACGTCAACATTCATTATGCACTGCTGCAATGCATGGGTTCTAATCCGACGTTCGCCCTGGTCGTGATGCTTGGTTTAGTAGCCTCAGAACAGTGCTCGATAGTTGTACAAAAGTGGTAAAACGACTACCTTGGGGCTCAGGGACCATCTATTTGATATTCTGGAGGGGATTTTGTATCGAGATTAGATATTGTTATTTACAGCTACAGAACCGGATATATTTTTATCCCCCGCCCAAACGAAGTAGGCGGGTGATATTGAAATGGGTTTCGTCCGTCCGTCCGTGCGTCCGCGTGTGCGTGTGTGTGTGTGTGCGTCCCGAAATCGTTTCCGGAGCATAAATCAGAAACTGTTAAATATTTCTCTACGAAATTTTGCATGTCTATCAGACTCATGCTGAACTGGTGCCTTTTGCTATTTAGGAATTATATTTTTTTTTTTTTAACGTTTCCATGGCAACAAGTTGGACTTAGGTTCTCTAAGGGTGGTTTTCATTTCCGGAGCGTAACTCAAAAACTGTTAAATACCTTCTTACCAAACTTTGCATGTCTACCAGGCACATACTGAACTGGTGCCTTTTGCTATTTAGGAATTTCATAAATATATTTTTTATGTTTCGATGGCAACAAGTTGGACTTAGGTTCTTTAGGGTAGAGTTCGTTTCCGGAGCATAACTCAAAACCCATTCAATACTTTCTTACAAAACTTTGCATGTTTACCAGACACATACTGAACTGGTGCCTTTTGCTATTTAGGAATTTTAGGAATTTTTATTTTTTACGTTTCCATGGCAACAAGCTGGATTTAAGTTTTAACACAGGGTTGGTTCACTTATGGAGTATAACAAATAAACTGTTAACTATTTCCTTGCCAAACAGTGCATGTCTATATATAAAGCACATATTGAACTGGTGCCATTTGATATTAAGGATTTTGTCTATTTTTAGAATTTCCATTGCAGTTCTTTTGACATGGGCTAAGAGAAATGTTGGGTCACTTACCTGGTTTGGGACCATAACGTGTTAAAATGGGCGGGGGATATAGATGACTTCGTCGACTTTACGCTTGTTTTATTTCAAACTATGAGCCCAATTATTTTTTAGGAACAACAATGTAATTTTTATGGCTGGCAATTTCTGTGACAAACCCAGCTATTTCTTTTAATAAATACTCTGAGCCTGAATTTATTTTAAAGAAGGAGAATATAAAAAAGTCGGGCATTACTGGTAGCACCCTAAGAAATCAAGGAAATGTTCTCACTCACATACATTTCACAGTATGGATGAGGAAGAAGTTTGTCTGACTGTTGTGTTGATGGGTCACCCAAATGCAAGGGGTTTTATGGAAATGGCGGTTAGTTCATCTATTATCATATCAACCACGGTTAGTATGGACGATAGGAACACAAATTGTGCAATAAATAAATTCTCCAATTTCCCTTACACATTATCGTTGTTTTCATTGCTGTTTTCCGTGATTGTCGTAAGAGGCGACTATGCTTGTCGTAAGAGGCGACTATGATTGTCGTAAGAGGCAACTATGCTTGTCGTAAGAGGCGACTATGCTTGTCGTAAGAGGCGACTATGATTGTCGTAAGAGGCGACTATGCTTGTCGTAAGAGGCGACTATGCTTGTCGTAAGAGGCCACTATGCTTGTCGTAAGAGGCGACTATGCTTGTCGTAAGAGGCGACTATGCTTGTCGTAAGAGGCCACTATGCCTGTCGTAAGAGGCGACTTTGCTTGTCGTTAGAGGCGACTCTGCTTGTCGTAAGAGGCGACTATGCTTGTCGTAAAGGCGACTATGCTTGTCGTTAGAGGCGACTCTGCTTGTTGTAAGAGGCGACTATGCTTGTCGTAAAGGCGACTTTGCTTGTCGTAAGAGGCGACTTTGCTTGTCGTAAGAGGCGACTATGATTGTCGTAAGAGGCGACTCTGCTTGTCGTAAGAGGCGACTATGCTTGTCGTAAAGGCGACTTTGCTTATCGTAAAGGCGACTTTGCTTATCGTAAGAGGCGACTATGCGTGTCGTAACAGGCGACTAATGGGATCGGGTGGTCGGGCACGCTGATTTGGTTGATGCATGTCATCGTATCCCAATTGCGTGGATCGATGCTTGTGATATCAATCACTGGATTGTCTGGTCCAGGCTTGATTATTTACAGACCACATAGGTGGAATATTGCTGAGTATGGCTTAAAACAACAAACAAACAAACAGACAAACAACAAAACATTGCTGTTTTCATTGCTGTCTTTGAGATGACATTAAGATTTAGTACAATTTACTATTACAACAAAAACGTTCACTTTTATACAGCGCCAATTTCTGTTTCTTCCATCTTCGCTTGAAAGCTGTTAATACAAAAATAATTAGGAAAACTTCCAAGTTACTTTTTCGTGACACATGTCTCGTTTCTTTAAAAGTTTGTAGCAGCTAATACCACTCGGTTAAGTGAATGAGTGAGTTGGGTATAACACCGAACAATATTCACGTTTGTAATCAGTGTATCAGCTTGATGTGGGAGAAAAGCCCGACGAAATTGAGGTCTTAGACGTTTATCACTTTAGTGAAACCCACGAACACAAGTATGGTGGTAATAAACCAAGAAACATAGGATTAAGTGAGGTGGTAATGGTTTAACCATTCTTTGAAAAGTATTTCTTTCCTATCACAGGCGTTCAGCTGATTAGGGCAAAAACCAAAGGGGCAAGACAACAAAACAAAGTTCCAACCTTCAATTGTTTCAGTTTCTGATATACAACTTTTTTTGGACATTGTATTGCCTCAATCTGAATCTTACCATTTCTTCGCAGAACGATTTTTTTATTTGTATCCCGCGATCAAAGATATGTCATCAATGACACTTTTATATGACTTCTATACGCCACGATAGGACAAGGATTACTTTAAGATGGCTTTGAAATTCCAGGGCTTAGAGATCGAGAGCTTGTTTATGTTGATTAATTACGTTTCAGAAATGGCGGAAGCGTAAGATGGAACAATCGATCAAGTTTCGTCTTGAACTGGCAAAGTATAATCACGTAAGTGTGTTGTTATTCAAGAGTTTCAGTAGTTGCGATTGCGGCTTCGTCAACGATAATGCTTCGGCCAAAAACCTTCATATGTTTGTTAAATATAAACGGCAACGCCAGTGAATAACCAATCTCGATTATCTGCCGAAACAGATTCCATTTGGCACCGATTAAACAAGAATCACACAAAAAACAATTGTGCTGAAACTTCGTGACATTATCCTCGATTTTTTTGTCTGAATCGTGCTTGTGGGGTTAGACTAGAAGTTATACGATATTCAGTTTCCTGTAAGGCGAAATGATCATACCGACCATATTTGACCCTGTTCAAGTAAAGCTATTGTCATACAAACGTTGATTGTTCATCGCATACTGGAAAAATGAAGCAACGATGTTGACGACTGTGTTTTTAATTTCTTGAGATACAACATATTCATATATTACAATAAACTCACACTTTTAAACATGTTCAAGTAACTTCATGCCCGCCGACAAAGACTTATTTCTTTTCTGAACGACGTACAACTAAGCCACGTACATGTTAATATCCATCCACCTCTTCTCCGCCACACCAGGCTTCCCGCTACGTCAAGTTCCCCGCCTATAGTGACGAGTTTCCCATAGATCGACTCCACTTCCTGGACACACTTGGCGAAGGGAATTTTGGGAAGGTGATGAAGGCGGAAGCGCTGGATGTTGCCGGAACCGGAAAGTGGGACCTGGTCGCGGTCAAGATGTGCAAAGGTCAGCATAGACCACAAGAAGTACTCTCTTACATTAGTTTTTGGCCTATGAAGGCATTGGTGTGTTTAACTCATTTAAGTCTATCTTCTAAGTGATATGCCTTTCAATACAAGTAGCTCACGTTTGATTGCAATACATAGCATAGAATACCCTCTTTTCATATTACTAAGAGTTACATTTATATCATAAAGGAAACTATAAATTGACACAGAATACCCTCTTTTCATATTACTGAGAATTACATTTAAACCATTAAGGAAACTATAAATTGACACAGAATACCCTCTTTTCATATTACTGAGAGTTACATTTAAATCATTACGGAAACTATAAACTGACACAGAAAACCCTCTTTTCATATTACTAAGAGTTACATTTAAATCATTATGGAAACTATTAATTGAGACAGAATACCCTCTTTTCATATTACTGAGATGTACATTTCAATCTTTACGGAAATTATAAATTGACACAGAATGCCCTCTTTTCATATTACTGAGAGTTACATTTAAATCATCACGGACACTATAAATTGACACAGAATGCCCTCTTTTCATATTACTGAGAGTTACATTTAAATCATTATTGAAACTATCAACTGACACAGAAAACCCTCTTTTCATATTACTGAGAGTTACATTTAAATCATTATGGAAACTATTAATTGACACAGAATACCCTCTTTTCATATTAATGAGAGTTACATTTAAATCATCACGGAAACTACAAATTGGCACAGAATACCCTCTTTTCATATTACTGAGAGTTACATTTAAATCATCACGGACACTATTAATTGACACAGAATACTCTCTTTTCATATTACTGAGAGTTACATTTAAATCATTACGGAAACTATAAATTGACATAGAATACCCTCTTTTCATATTAATGAGAGTTACATTTAAATCATCACGGAAACTACAAATTGGCACAGAATACCCTCTTTTCATATTACTGAGAGTTACATTTAAATCATTACGGAAACTATAAATTGACATAGAATGCCCTCTTTTCATATCACTGAGAGTTACATTTAAATCAAAATGGAAACTATAAATTGACATAGAATACCCTCTTTTCATATTACTGAGAGTAACATTTAAATCATTAAGGAAACTATAAATTGACACAGAATGCCTTCTTTTCATATTACTGAGAGTTACATTTAAATCATTACGGAAACTATAAATTGGCACAGAATACCCTCTTTTCATATTACTGAGAGTTACATTTAAATCATTATGGAAACTATTAATTGACACAGAATACCCTCTTTTCATATTACTGAGAGTTACATTTAAATCATCACGGACACTATAAATTGACACAGAATGCCCTCTTTTCATATTACTGAGAGTTACATTTAAATCATTATTGAAACTATAAACTGACACAGAAAACCCTCTTTTCATATTACTGAGAGTTACATTTAAATCATTATGGAAACCATAATTGACACAGAATACCCTCTTTTCATATTAATGAGAGTTACATTTAAATCATCACGGAAACTACAAATTGGCACAGAATACCCTCTTTTCATATTACTGAGAGTTACATTTAAATCATTACGGAAACTATAAATTGACATAGAATGCCCTCTTTTCATATCACTGAGAGTTACATTTAAATCAAAATGGAAACTATAAATTGACATAGAATACCCTCTTTTCATATTACTGAGAGTAACATTTAAATCATTAAGGAAACTATAAATTGACACAGAATGCCCTCTTTTCATATTACTGAGAGTTACATTTCAATCATTATGGAAACTATAAATTGACACAGAATACCCTCTTTTCATATTACTGAGATGTACATTTCAATCTTTACGGAAATTATAAATTGACACAGAATGCCCTCTTTTCATATTACTGAGAGTTACATTTAAATCATTACGGAAACTATAAATTGGCACAGAATACCCTCTTTTCATATTACTGAGAGTTACATTTAAATCATCACGGACACTATAAATTGACACAGAATACTCTCTTTTCATATTACTGAGAGTTACATTTAAATCATCACGGACACTATAAATTGACACAGAATACCCTCTTTTAATATTACTGAGAGTTACATTTAAATCATTACGGAAACTATAAATTGACATAGAATACCCTCTTTTCATATCACTGAGAGTGACATTTAAATCATTACGGAAACTATAAATTGACACAGAATACCCTCTTTTCATATTACTGACGGTTACATTTAAATCAAAATGGAAGCTATAAATTGACACAGAATACCCTCTTTTCATATTACTGAGGGTTTCATTTAAATCTTCACAGAAACTATAAATTGACACAGAATACCATCTTTTCATATTACTGAGAGTTACAGATATCATTAAGGAAACTATTAATTGACACAGAATACACTCTTTTCATATTACTGAGAGTTACAGATATCATTAAGGTAACTATAAATTGACACAGAATACACTCTTTTCATATTACTGAGAGTTACACTTAAATCATCACGGAAACTATGAATTGACACAGAGAGGGCATATCTAGGAGACTGAAAATCTAGGGTGTGTGTGTATGAGGTTGGATTTGGTTTTGTGGATCTGTTGGGGTGAGTGGATGTTTGGGTGTGTGAGTGTTGAGTGGCTGAGTTGCTTAGATGCTATGAAGTACAGCTTTAGTTCCAAACTGTAACTGTTGTTCTATGACCCAACTTGTGTTATACATTGTGAAGGGTGTTGTTCCTTGAGTCATTTTCATTCGTGGTGAAGACTCGAGACAAAACTGAGATGCTTATAAAACTCGAAATGACATCCAGTGAACTCGGCCATGCAGTGAATGATTTGTTGGTTGGTTTGTTGTTTAACGCCGCACTCAGCAATATTCCAGCTATATGACGCGTTTTGTAAATAATCGAGTCTGGACAAGGCAATCCAGTGATTGACATCATGAGTATCGATCCACGCAATTGAGATCGATGACATGCATCAACCAAATCAGCGAGCCTGACCACCTGATCCCGTTAGTCGCCTTTTACGACAAGCATAGTGGCCTTATACAACAAGCATGGATTCCTGAAGACTTATTCTAACCCGGATCTTCACGGTTCTGCAGAGAATGACAAGTGGAAAGAAACATATTCAACATATTGAGACAATAGAATAGTAAAGTCATCCAGGATTCTATAACTTAATTGTGATACGTTTCTTATCTCACCCATATCATAAGCATGGCGTTAATTTGAATGTTACACATAATATTACCATGATACAGACATAGCGACGGACGCTGAGAAGGAGAACCTCTACCACGAGACGGTCATCATGAGGAAGGTCCCTCGGCATATCAACGTCGTCACCTACCTCAGCTATGTGGCATCATCAGGTACGTCCACGTGGCTGTCGAGGACGTATTGTGGTTGCCGTGTGTCTGTAGTCCAAAGCAACTCGCACCTGTTCTCTGAGTGAACTAGCATAGAGTCATACTCCGACTTCATGGTTTCATGACCACACTGGTTTGCCGGCATCAGGCATGATATCTCTGTCTCATTGTCAACCTTTGACTGACCTCGGTAAAAATTTGTCAAAGTAATAGAACGTGAGCATTGTCAAAGAGTGATATAACTATAAAAAAAATATCTGTTCTTGTCTTTGCCATGTTAAAACCAATAAAGCAAGATGAGCAGCTGTCGTGAGCAATTAAAGTTTTCTTAATGTCTTATGATAACAAGGATTGTTTCATTCCTTTGTCCATTGAACGCTTTATCACAGTAAGTAAGTGAGTACTGTTTCACGCCGCTTTTAGCAATATTCCAGCAATATCACGGCGGGAGACACCAGAAATGGGCTTCACATATTGTACCCATGTCGGGAATCGAACCCGGGTCTTCGGCGTGACGAGCGAACGCTTTAACCACTAAGCTACCCGACCGCCCCCTTTATCACAGTAGTTCAAGTAGAACTCTAAATAGGTTGCTCTTTCATCTACATATTCAAACGATTGCTTCCGTAAAGACGTCAAACAAACTTAAATACAGTAAACTACGTTTATAACGAACACGCTTATAAGGAACTGACGGATATAACGAACCTACTTTTGTGTCCAGACTATTTGCTGTCGTTTTGCTCTATATATGCTTATAACGAACTACGGTTATAACGAACTTAAACAAGTGGTCCCTTTGAGTTCGTTATAACCGTAGTTCGTTATAACCGTAGTTTACTGTACCTGTACAGAGCCAACTCTGCTGATCATGGAATACGTGCCTGGGGGAAATCTTCTTCAGTTCCTGAGAAAAAGGCGTCCCCAGAAGGTGAAGGAGGATGAAGAGGGGACGGGCGAAGGAGTCAGTGGAGAGAGAGAAGAAAGTACAGAGGATGGTGGAGGACAGAAGTCTGAGGGACATGATGACTCGGGACAGATGAATCTATTGTCATCACGTGACTTGTCCTCTTTTGCTCTGCAGATAGCAAAGGGCATGGCGCATGTTGCCTCGCATAATGTATGATTTTAATTTTCAATTTCTTAATTGTATACACTTTTGAACTCAATTGCAGTGTATCAATAACATAATCAGTCTCGGTTTCTATAAGGTGGAATAAGTATATATCACGTATTAACCTAACATAGTTTAGTCACTAAAATGCAATGTATTAACCCCCCATATGTTGACCAGTCGGGCAATAACCTCATATATTGAGGTCAGTAAGGTGTCCCGTATCAGCCACATATGTTGATCAAAAGGGCAATAACCTCATATATTGAGGTCAGTAAGGTGTCCCGTATCAGCAACATATATTGATCGACAGAGCAATAACCTCATATATTAAGGTCAGTAAGGTGTCCCGTATCAGCCACATATGTTGGTCGACAGAGCCATAACCTCATATATTTAGGGCAGTAAGGTGTCCCGTATCAGCCACATATGTTGGTCGACAGAGCAATAACCTCATATATTTAGGTCAGTAAGGTGTCCCGTATCAGCCACATATGTTTGTCGACAGGGCAATGACCTCATATATTTAGGTCAGTAAGGTGTCCCGTATCAGCCACATATGTTGGTCGGCAGAGCAATAACCTGACATATTTAGTCGAATAAGGTGTCCCGTATCAGCCACATATGTTGGTCGACAGAGCAATAACCTCACATATTTAGTCCAGTAAGGTGTCCCGTATCAGCCACATATGTTGGTCGACAGAGCAATAACCTCACATATTTAGGTCAGTAAGGTGTCCCGTATCAGCCACATATGTTGGTCGACAGAGCAATAACCTCACATATTTAGTCCAGTAAGTTGTTCAAACGCATATGTCGTAAGCATTAACCCTATTTATGTCAAGAGTGTTATTTATTGTTTGTTTATTTTCATGTTGACGTTCTTCACAGATAATTCACAGAGATTTGGCTGCAAGGAATGTTCTCCTGGGACTAGGGAATGTCTGCAAGATTTCTGACTTTGGTCTGTCACGTGACATGGAGGGGAGTGACGAATACGAAGTGTCGACAATGGTAGGCATATGGAAGAATTTTAGGCAAATATAGAACCAGACGGACACGTTCTGGGACACATGGTATGAGGTGCCTGCCCCAAAACAGAACAGAGACAATTGTACATTTGAACTGAAATGTATAGCAACTTGTTTTTCAGATCAAAGATAGTGGATACGAAATGACCCTTTAACCATGTCCCCATAACTTGTTGTCAATACTGGTTTGTTCACGACGCTCTCTCCATCCCATGTGTTCCACCAAAACTTATTACCATCACTGGTGTGTTCACGACACTCTCTCCATCCCATGTATTCCACCATAACTTATTATCATCTCTGGTGTGTTCACGACACTCTCTCCATCCCATGTGTTCCACCATAACTTATTACCATCTCTGGTGTGTTCACGACACTCTCTCCATCCCATGTATTCCACCATAACTTATTATCATCTCTGGTGTGTTCACGACACTCTCTCCATCCCGTGTGTGCCACCATAACTTATTACCATCTCTGGTGTGTTCACGACGCTCTCTCCATCCCATGTGTTCCACCAAAACTTATTACCATCACTGGCGTGTTCACGACACTCTCTCCATCCCATGTGTTCCACCATAACTTATTATCATCTCTGGTGTGTTCACGACACTCTCTCCATCCCATGTGTTCCACCATAACTTATTACCATCTCTGGTGTGTTCAGGGTCCCCTCCCAATACGCTGGATGCCCCCCGAGTCTCTGACAGACCGGCTGTACACTCTCAAGTCCGACGTGTGGTCCTACGGGGTCCTTCTCTGGGAGATTGTCACCCTCGGTAAGTGAACATCCTAGCTACATCACTTAAGGGATGCCCGATGGCCAGATGTTCAAAGGTCACGCAATTCCTTGTACAGATCTACGTCCCTCAACCATGCAGGGGGCACGGGTGGCCCAGTCGTCTAAGGCGCCGCGATTCGCTGTGCAGAGTTGCGTCCCTTGGGCACGCCAGAAACCTATGATTGTGGGTTCGAATCCCGGTTCGCCCCGATTATGTTTCTAGGTTTGTCAGCACCATACCCGTGCTCGTGGGTTTCACCGAAGTGGTAAACGTCTGAGGCCTGCATCACTTCGGGCTTTCCTCCCACATTAGCTGACACGCCGCGATATAAATGGAATATTGTTAAAAGCGGCGTTAAACCCAACTCACTCACTCACTCCCTCAACCATGCAATGATGAGTCAACTACAAAGATGTTTTTTTGTTGGCACTAGTCAACGCACACTATTCATTATTCCCTTAAGTGATGCGTGATGTGCTAGTGTTCCAAGGTGCCATAATTACAGTAAACTACGTTTATAACGAACACGCTTATAACGAACTCACAGATATAACGAACATATTTTTTGGTCCCGGCAATTTGCTGTATATTTGCTATATATATGCATATAACGAGCTGCGGTTATAACGAACTAGAATTAGTGGTCCCTTTCAGTTCGTTATAACCGTAGTTTACTGTACTTAAAGATTTGCCCTCAGCCATGCAACAATCCGTTGATCGCAGGATCGCATTCTAGAAAAACTAGCTGACATGCCGTGATATAACTAAAATAGTGTTCGTTGTGGTGTTATTCCAAGTCACTCACTCAATATTGTAGGTGTATTTATGTTCGTTACAATTTTTTAATTACAAAATGCTTAATTTTGATAATTAAATAGCTGTTATTTCTGGACCTATTTGTTTGTTTTTTTTTTGGGGGGGGGGGGGGGGGGGGGACGACGCGGAGTTGGTGGTTGTGAAAGCATTATCTCGTCACACAGTGGCCTGGTTGCGAATTCCCTCATTGGTACCATAGGTGAAGTCCCCATACTGATATATTGCTATACGCGGCGTAAAAATATACTCAAACTTTTTCTGCCCATCGTTCACCAGGGGCCAGTCCATATTCGGGTCAGAGTGCCCGGCAGGTGATGATGTCGGTCACGGAAGGGAAGAGGCTGGAGAAGCCGGACTACTGTTCGGAGCATGTGTAAGTTTAATGTGAAGTAGAAGTGTGTATCAACAGGTGTAAATAAAGCGACAAAACCCTTTCCATGTCCAATAAAAATCTCTGCATAAAGCAGAGACGATTGGATGATTCCGACTATTTCATGAGCATGTGTTTATGAATCACTATCAAATAGTAATGATACCAAGTGTTCAGGAAAAGGTGAGCCTATCCTGTACCTCCGGTGGCACCCGTCACAAACACAATCAAAGGCAAGTCAAGTGTTAACCGAAAAGAAACACGGGAACATTTGGTACAACTCAAAATAGGGAATTGCAGCGGACATCGTTTTTGTCACTGGTTAGAAGAAAAAGGAAATCAAGTGAAACTGTTTTTGGACACAAAGGTTCTCAAATTCATTCCTAACGACAAATACAAACTTTGCAGTAAGCTTGGCCTTGTTAAGTTTATGTTTCATTCATTTTGCCAAGTATTCATATTGTTTGTGAGCTATCTCAATGAGGAATCCGATTCTAAAAGAGACAATGCTGTTGAACTTTTGTTTGGACGTTTTGAAGACCAGCTCTTCTTCTCCATTCTTAAAGGCAGGGTCTGGGTGGAATAATTACGCAACCTTATGGGTATTCATGATGTTGAGTTTTCTCACTGTAATTTTATTATTATTTTCAAGTCCTCCAAAAACAGATAACGATGTAACGTCATTACCGAAATTAATTTCCCTTTGACGTCCAGCATTGGGCCAGGGTTCTTGGCACCTGTTCTATTGTTGCTATAGAGATTCGCTGGTACCGATGTTCTGTAATTCCCTTCCCCACAGGTACAAGCTGATGACACAGTGCTGGCGGCCCCACCCCGGGGACAGGCCCACCTTCTCCGACCTGGCGGACACCATCGAGGGGCACCTGGAGGAGGAGGCCGAGTATGTTCAGCTCAGCAACTTTGACGTCAACATCTACGACGTCATCGACATGGGCGGCATGGACGTCGCGGAGGAAAAAGTTTGAGACAGGCGTCAGAAGATGATGTCAGTGTATACATAATGACACAACTGGTTACTAGTTAGTTGATGAAACATTTGTCCTGTCGAATAACCAAAGGATACATAATTGGTCGGTTGGTTATGATCCAGTGATTGACATCATGAGCATCGATCCACACAATTGAGATAAGATGACATGCATCAACCAAGTCAGCGAGCCTGACCACCCGATCGCTTCTTACGACAAGCATAGCCGACTTTTACGGCAAGCATGGGTTGCTGAAGACCTATTCTACCCCAGATCTTCACGTGTCTAAATCATTAGTATTCTAACGAACGTTAATAGCTAATTTCAAATTATTTCAACGAAACATTATTTCTTTTATGAATGTAACAATAAAAGCAATATGTGATGATACATGACACACCAACTAGAATGTCATGGACACAAGCATCAGCATGCCCTACAAGACTTGCAGGAACTTGGCGAGCACTAGCAGGAGTCAATATTCGACAGGATCGTACACGTGACTAACACAATCTGGCAGCATCCGTGAAACGTATAGAACAGTTGGTTCAGTTTGCTCTTGAATCCAAATAAAATGGTATACCTATTGACTGTAAGCAGTAGTATGTCTTCAAAAGTGGTAGACGTGTTGATAAACCTATCTGCGGCGGTATCTGGTGTGGCATGGTTTAAAGAGAACTCATGGAATATCACTTCTCCACAGCTACTCAATGTATTATTGTAAGTAGTGGGAAATACCTGGTGGACCCGACTGTTTTTTGTTTGTATGTTTGTTTGTTGTGTAACGCCGCACTCAGCAATATTCCAGCTGTATGACGGCGTTCTGTAAATAATCGAGTCTGGACCAGACAGTCAAGTGATTGACATCATGAGCATGGATCCACGAAATTGGGATCAATGACATGCATCAACCAAGTCAGCGAGCCTGACCACCCGATCCCGTAAGTCGCCTCTTATGACAAGCCGATGTATAACAACCTATGTTAAGTGTAAGCAGGTATCGATTGATGATAATTGGAGAGGAACAAGTACATACGTCATGAGCCTGGTGTTATTGTTTAAACAAGTTGGTGTATTGTGTTGGTGATTCTAACCATTCCCTTCATGCCGCTATGTCAACAGGTTCACCGACCTAGATCACTGACCCTAATTGTGCACTTATGTAGGACTGGTAATGCTGTTGTTCCTTGGTAAACAAGTCTATAGACTGGGATCACTGCTATCCTAATTGGGAACTGATGATAGTTTTGTCAGCCTGGCTCTGGATCTAATTGCGCTGTTAGGTTTATCAAATTTGTTTCATTGTCACACATTGTAATTACATTTTACTGTTTCTGTGTTAGTCGTTTGTCATCGGTTGTATTTGGTCCTCCGATGTAAGGTGAGGTGAAATTGGGTTTAACGTCGCGTCCAAGATTATTGAACTCAAATAGCGACGTGCATGTACGTGTGTGTGTGACTGTGTGGCTACTTGTACTGATGCCGATTTATAGTGCTAGCTCACTGAGATACCATGCCGCAGTTTAACATGAATACCCCACTCAGACACAGTACACTGACCCCGAGCCGACCAGTCCTTGTTTTAGCCCCTTAATGCCGAGCGCCAGACAGGGTAACAGCAAGTGCCATCTTTTAACGTCTTTTGGTATGATGCGGCCGGGGATCGAACCCAGGACGTTCCGCTCTCCTGGCGGACGCTCTACCACTAGACCACGGAGGCGGTCTGTATTTGGTAGTTTGTAGGGCAGTAATTGTTAGAGGTAATACAACATGCTGGTAATGTGTCGATAGGTTTTAGATGTATCAACTAGGATGATATTCAATGGCCTGAATGTAAATTAATCCATACTTGGTCAGACACTAATTGAGTTGTCAATGAATGTTGAACGTCGAGCCCCATTAATTGGCTTGAACGGTTGAAAGATTGGTTACTGTTGATAAAATATCCTTGAGCCAGTCAGCATTGTGTCATTCTATTGAGGTATATACCCTGAGGCCATGCGGTTCTATGCCGTTATACGGTAAATACCCTGGAGCCATGCAGCCCCATGCCATTATACGGTAAATACCCTTGAGCCATTTTGCAACATGCCATTCTGTTACGGTAAATACCCTGGAGCCATTTAGCAACATGCCATTCTGTTAGGGTAAATACCCTGGAGCCATGCAGCCCCGTGTCATTATACGGTAAATACCCTGGAGTCATTCAGGAACATGCCATTATACGGTAAATACCCTGGAGCCATTTTGCAACATGCCATTCTGTTACGGTAAATACCCTGGAGCCATGAGGCTCCATGCCATTATACGGTAAATATCCTGGAGCCATTTTGCAACATGCCATTATACGGTAAATACCCTGGAGCCATTTTGCAACATGCCATTATACGGTAAATACCCTGGAGCCATTTAGCAACATGCCATTATACGGTAAATACCCTGGAGCCATTTTGCAACATGCCATTATACGGTAAATACCCTGGAGCCATTTAGCAACATGTCATTATGTTAAGGTAAACATCCTGGAGCCATTTAGCAACATGCCATTATACGGTATATACCCTGGAGCCATTTTTTAACATGCCATTTTGTTACAGTAAATACCCTGAAGCCATGAAGCTCCATGCCATTATACGGTAAATAACCTGGAGTCATTTAGCAACATGCCATTATACGATAAATACCCTGGAGTCATTCAGGAACATGCCATTATACGGTAAATACCCTTGAGCGATTTTGCAATATGCCATTCTGTTACGGTAAATACCCTGGAGCCATTAAGCAACATGCAATTACACGGTAAATACCCTTGAGTCATTAAGCAACATACCATTACACGGTAAATACCCTTGAGCCATTTAGCAACATGCCAGTATACGGTATATACCCTGGAGTCATTCAGGAACATGCCATTCTGTTACGGTAAATACCCTTGAGTCATTTAGCAACATACCATTACACGGTTAATACCCTGGATCCATTTAGCAACATGCCATTATACGGTATATACCCTGGAGTCATTCAGGAACATGCCATTATACGGTAAATACCCTGGAGCCATTTTGCAACATGCCATTCTGTTACGGTTAATACCCTGGAGCCATTTAGCAACATGCCATTCTGTTAGGGTAAATACCCTGGAGCCATGCAGCCCCATGCCATTATACGGTAAATACTCTGGAGCCATTTAGCAACATGCCATTACACGGTTAATACCCTGGAGCCATTTAGCAACATGCCATTATACGGTAAATACACGGGAGCCATTTTGCAACATGCCATTCTGTTACGGTCAATATCCTGGAGCCATTTAGCAACATGCAATTCTGTTAGGGTAAATACCCTTGAGCCATGCAGCCCCATGCCATTATACTGTTTATACCCTGGAGCCATTTAGCAACATGCCATTAAACGGTAAATACCCTGGAGTCATTTTGCAACATACCATTCTGTTACGGTAAATACCCTGGAGCCATTAAGCAACATGCAATTACACGGTAAATACCCTAGAGTCATTTAGCAACATGCCATTACACGGTTAATACCCTTGAGCCATTTAGCAACATGCCATTATACGATGAATACCCTGGAGCCATTTAGCAACATGCCATTATACGGTATATACCCTGGAGTCATTTTGCAACATGCCATTCTGTTACGGTAAATACCCTGGAGCCATTAGGCAACATGCAATTACACGGTAAATACCATTGAGTCATTAAGCAACATGCAATTACGCGGTTAATACCCTGGAGCCATTTAGAAACATGCCATTATACGGTATATACACTGGAGTCATTCAGGAATATGCCATTATACGGTAAATACCCTGGAGCCATTTTGCAACATGCCATTCTGTTACGGTAAATATCCTTGAGCCATTAAGCAACATGCAATTACACGGTAAATACCCTTGAGTCATTTAGCATAATGCCATTACACGGTTAATACCCTAGAGCCATTAAGCAACATGCCATTGTACGGTATATACCCTGGAGTCATTCAGGAACATGCCATTATACGGTAAATACCCTGGAGCCATTTTGCAACATGCCATTCTGTTACGGTAAATACCCTTGAGCCATTTAGCAACATGCCTTTTTGTTAGGGTAAATACCCTGGAGGCTCGCAGCCCTAGCCATTATACGGTATATACCCTAGAGCCATTTAGCAACATGCCATTATACGGTATATAGCCTGGAGCAATTATATAACATGCCAGTCTGTTACGGTAAATACTCTGAAGCCATTAGGCTCCATGCCATTATACGGTACATACCCTGGAGCCATTTAGCAACATGCCATTCTGTTACGGTAAATACCCTGGAGCCATTTTGCAAAATGCCATTATACGGTATATAGCCTGGAGCCATTATATAACATGCCATTCTGTTACAGTAAATACCCTGAAGCCATGAGGCTTCATGCCATTATACTGTATATACCCAGGAGCCATTCAGGAACATGCCATTACACGGTATATACCCTGGAGCCATTTAGCAACATGCCATTACACGGTAAATACCCTGGAGCCATTTAGCAACATGCCATTCTGTTACGGTAAATACCCTGGAGCCATGAGGCTCCATGCCATTATACGATATATACCCTGGAGCCATTTTTTTAACATGTCATTCTGTTACAGTAAATACCATGAAGCCATGAGGCTCCATGCCATTATACGGTATATACCCTGGAGCCATTTTTTAACATGCCATTCTGTTACAGTAAATACCCTGAAGCCATGAGGCTCCATGCCATTATACGGTATATACCCTGGAGCCATTCTGTTACAGTAAATACCCTGAAGCCATGAGGCTCCATGCCATTATACGGTATATACCCTGGAGCCATTTTTTAACATGCCATTCTGTTACAGTAAATACCCTGAAGCCATGAGGCTCCATGCCATTATACGGTAAATACCCTTGAGTCATTCAGGAACATGACATTCCACGATGAAAACCCTGGTATATGCCATTTTGTAAAGGATTCTAATCGTACTAAATAAACAATAGTACGTCTATTTTTACGGAAACCACATTGAATATTCGTAATAAATATTTGTATTCAAATACCAAACTAATCTATTAGTTATCTACTGGTTAATGATGGTGGGCGGTAATTTGAGTGATCTGTTTCATCCCGGCCAGGTTTTGGTATGGGGACGAATTTGGTTTCTTTAAAAAATTAATGTCTTTGAACATCACAAATAATGATATTAAAACACAACAAAGTGTCGAATAACGAATTTCAGTACCAGAATTGTCATGTGAAATACGTGAGGAGTGTGTTGGAAAATCCAAGATGGCTGTTACTGACGGTATACGGGCTCATATGAGGTCAGTAACAACCATCTTGGATTTTTACTGACGGTATACGGGCTCTATGGGGTGAGTAGTTCTGCTCTCTGATTGGTCAATCTCACTTTGAGGCATAATAAATACACGTACCAATATCCCCTACTAAATTTGTGAACAGTTTAATACTATTAGATGTGGTGTCTTTAGTTGGCGTATACAGTATACGGCTACTAAAGACACCATAACGAGATTATTAAGCCGAGATGTTTACACTGTGTGGTATCCATATCGCACTACTCTTCTAATCTTTGTACGCTGACTTTAAGTGTCAAAGGGAGACTACTCTTCAAACCTTAGAGACCAAAGCTTGTTGGCAATTTTAACTACTATCTTTATCAATGAAGTCACGAACGTGATTTTTTTTTTTTTTTAATTAATGTTCT